CCTCTCCCAATGATCTCCAGTTTAAACTACCCTGCGAGAGCCTATTCCATTTTATCCCAGTGAATTTCTTGACTTCGTCGCTCCAATTAACCCACTTTTAGTACTAAGCTTTGTTCATTTGTACTTGATCACGAGCCTTCGAATGTAGCCAAAGTGTTTCATATGACAACTGGCATATCAATTAATGACAGAACTTTTGTCACAGTACAAAAATTGTTAAAATACAGAGTGGGCAAGATAGTAGGGTGATGCATCTACAGTGTTCTCAAAACGAAGCATCCAATTAAAAACGTATATAAGACATGATTACACAATTTCGAAAAGTGTGATACCAGAAACCAACATTAAAATATGAATGCTATCCACAGCATCATTTGCTTGTGTGATCTGTTCACTTTGATGTCAATGGACTCTAAGCTCAAGGGACACCCTACCAATGCACACTTTCATCTGGAAGGAAGTTTAATGCCTTGCTAATCTGCTTCGATTAAAAGATATAAAAAACTGCCCATGCTAGCTGCATGAAAGAAACAAGTAGAAAACTTAGTCAATTGCTCCAGGACGCATTTCAGTTGCAAAAAAATATAGCCATTACTGCACCAAGTGATGCAGATGCCAGGAAAAGGGACAGGTTCGAGGAAAAATCATCCCGCCACTTTAGCTAATTGATTGATTGATTTGTGGGGTTTAACATCCCAAAACAACCATATGATTATGAGAGACGCCGTAGAGGAGGGCTCCGAAAATGTAGACCACCTTCCACCACTTTAGCTAAAGAAGGTGCCACCACGCTAAATTAACTAACAAAAACGGTGTAAGCTTAGAACTGTGACTGTATAAAGCTCACACAATCTTCAAGACAAGTGAAGCTTTCATTCAGTCTCAGATCATTCACGGGCAAAAAAAATGTGGAGACATCTGCAAATTAAAATGCCCTAAACCGCAGGGCTGAGATTAAAGTGACATTCGTGTGTTTCAAAAGCAATCCCAGCAACAAGATATCGACAGAAACACACCCGACCTGCTGGTTGTAAGGGCTATTTTGCATGGCACGCTTGTAGTCAGAAAGCCCTTTTGTTGCCATACAGATAAAATATTTTGTGCAGTCCCCTCGAGAAGCCTAGATTACAGACAAAAACATGTTTGTGAACAGACGCACAATGAATGAGGCAGCATCTGCTTAGCATGGAGAGAAATATGCTCTTCGAAGACAATCCTTAACAGTTTCTAATCTTGGTACAGAAGATTGCATTTCTCCAACAGAAATCTACAAATTTGTAAGACTTGATCAAACCATTTGTTATTTCCCCAATCGACCTGTTTGCTAGCTCACAAGGTAAACAAATCGTTGCCTTGAAAACAAATTGGCAGCAAGAACCTCATTCCTAGACCATAATAAATTTTTATGATGAATTTATAAAGAATAATATTAACCATGATGGGACCTCTTGTAGTAGTAATATGTGGCAGTTAGGTGAGCATCAACTATTATTTTTTCTTTAACACCAATAAATAATGCAAGTTTTCTAATACGCCGCACTGAACTTTCCCTTGAAAAGATCAATCATTCTGCTCAAGCATACCTGGCTTCTCGAAGAAAGACTGACAACATATGATAGAAAAGGAATAAGGCAATGATAAACCTTTTCTTCCTCATAAAAGCAGACATAGTACCATGGTGCATTTATAATGAAGATTTTAAGTTTGGGTCCTACAAGTTACCAATGAAATCGGGAAATGATCTTTGTGTATATATATATATATATATATATATATATATATATATATATATATATATATATATATATATATATATATATATATATATTTAATTAAGTCCATGTGTCATATGTGCTATTTAAACCAAAAGCTTTTTCTAAGCGTACCATGTTCAACAAAATGTGCTTTCTTCCAATTACAATAATAGCAAGTGATGATCCCCCACATGCTGGTTTGGCTGTTAAGACTACAGATTTTAATAAAATGTTCAGAATGATTTCTTTTAAAAATAAACTTGCATCCTAAAAATGCGTACCAAGCTCTACAGAAGTGCCCCCAGATTCTGCTTCTATAAAAGGCCATTACCACTAGGATGTGGCTCTGAAACATTAATGTGAAAATGTACATTCTGGTATAACTTTGAATACAGCTAATCCTTTGTTTCTTGCTGATAAGAATGTTTCTTACTGTGAATAAGCATGTGCAAGCCGTTCACAGGACGAAATTTCATTCTTTCCCATTTTTTTTCGCATTGGCGAAATTCTCTCTAGTATCACGCACACATATTTAATTGATCCTTAAGTGACAACTCACGAGCCTCCCCCAAAGAGCCCAAGAAAAAACTGCAATGCAATGCAACTGACAATAGGCTGACTGTAATGCCAACAGAAACTTGTAATAGAAGGCACTCTTAGACTGTGCTATCACCCGACACTTCACAAGCAACAGGACGTCTCACCGGTCAAACCTTTTGAGACCATTGCAGCGTTAGTCATTTCTCAACAACCCATCTAGGGTTTCTTTCTTTAGCTGCAAATGCCACTTAAAAAAGGCGGCTGTCCTCTACAATGCCTCTCTGCAAAATAATGAGTCACATGCCCGTGTCACGAATGCTGGCTTCAGCGTAAGCTGGCATATACGTGCTTTCTTGCTGTTTATGCACTTGGTGATGGCGACACATTCTGCAGTGAAATACTGCAGCTTCGGCCGCGAGCATAACAACTTCCCTTTGTTTTGAGACGGTGAAGCAAGGTGGCACAACCTTCCCCTTCAGACTTCTGCTCGTGGATGTTCCATCACTTGTTGTAGGGTGCAAGGGCAAGTGATGGCCAAAGAACAGCATGTGCAATGAGTAACAATGGAACTAACTCTACATGGCTGTATAGATATTATCGACTGTGCATCACATCGACGTGCACATTATTTTTGCATGATTTGCAGCCTCAATTGATTGACTGACATGTGGGGTTTAACGTGTCAAAACAACCATATGATTATGAGAGACGCCTGATTTGCAGCCTCAACTGAGCTGCTCAAGATAAGTATAGAAGGAGAAGTGCAGCTTTATACTACGCAAGCTCAGCTGTACAACAAATAGTGCTTTCAGTGGCATCAGTTTGGATCTACAGGTCGTCATCAGTGCAATGTTCTCAAAACTCTGAACAAGTTTTTGCAAGATACAGAACTTGACAAAAAAAAAAAAAACAGTCAGCAAATAACTTTTGAGCTTTGAAAGTTTCGATCCATCATCGACTTCATCCTAATCATCATCACCACCCTCTTCCCTTGCCTAACGCTGAGTAGCAGGAAAATTAATTCAAGCCGACCTCTCAGCTTTTCTCGCATAATAAACCTCTCTCTGTCATACAGCAGCCTCAGCAATATATTGTAAGTACTGAAGCTACAGCAACAGTCAGTGACCTATACAATGGGCATGATAGACATGATACAAGTGGATGACCTACTGAAATGTGTTGTGCAAGTAGCAATGTTGCCATGCCAGAACTACTGGCATACAAGATGCACCATTGAAGCCATTAGGAGAAGTTTTGTTCTAAAGTACTATTGCAACATGTGGGTGCAAATAATCCAATGCTCTTGCATGAGCAACAGTTGGTCACTCACTTGGGGCCACTTATTTTTGAGCATTTAGAATAGATCTAAGCACGGGGGGGGGGGGGGGGGTTTAAAGCTCCCTGGCCGTTATGCCATGCATTCCTACGGGAGCGTGGCCTGGGAACTTTTGACACCCCCTCTAGATCTTAGTCCATGAAATCATACAAGTATGGTTGCGCACCAAGAGCATTGTGCGCAACCAGAGCTATGTCATAGTTATAAGCTGAAGAGCCATAGTTATACATTCCAAGCACGAACAAACTCGCCAAGCAGTAAGTTTTCATGGAAGAATCATTTTATCCCAGTTGGCCATGACCTTAGCTGTCAAAAGAAAGGAATATACCACGGCAACTGAGTATCCCCCTACACTGACGTATACGTAACAAATGACCTCCCAGGTATACGAAATTAGGCTGAGAACGATCGTGCAGCAGTAATTGAATCCTTCATCCGCAGCAGTTTAAGCGGTAGCAGTCTCAAGTCATAGGAGCCACTGATTTGCGCGTTCTTTGCAAAAAGAAAGGCCTCGGTAGGGCACACGAGCTGGCGATGAAGGCATGCTAGGCCAACGCGTGGTTTCGTTATTCCGCAAGCCTATCCGTTTCCGCAGATAACCGCACGCCCACTTCCGGCATAACATACCAGGACGCCGGAAGGAGGCGACGACTGAATATTACGGCAAAAGTGTTTATTGCCGCTATCGCGGTGGTCGAGACGCCAGCTTTCTACTCTGACACGAACAAGGTGACGTCATGATCTTTTTTTTGTCTCCGATTTTTAATCCTAGGGGTGACGGTACAGAGAGTCGGAGAAGATCGCCAGATGCAACGTAGGCTGCCAACTCATACTTTAGCGCTCAAGAAACGCGAGGCAGTTGACAAGTTATACAGAACAAAACGGTCCTTACTACATAGACGGGAGCGCGGTACGTACTTCGACAGCTGATAGCAAATCCTAATATATACCATTCACAGCCGATAAATTCTGGAAGAGAAACAGTACCGAGAGCTTTATCGATTTCATTTTCGAGTGGGCACGTGAGAAACTACTCGTACTACGGCCGATTTGCCCTCGCCAGTCGATCCTCGCAAGGGCACGCTCGATCTAATCTACCGCCGCACGCGCGCGCACTACACACACACACGACAACGCTATCAACTCGGTCGCGCCTTTGAAAATCGGCACGCGAACCAAGCCATCAGCGGGTCACTGCCACTGGGGCAGGTGTGAAGAAAACAAGAGGAGAGCGAGCGACGTAGTTGCATCATGCTACGGGCGAGCAGCCTTGAGAACGTGCCTCGCAGCACGAGAGAGACAAGCACCAACAACAGCGCTCGACGGTGTGCATCGATACTCATACAGGAGACCAGAACGCAAGCACACACCTTTTCTTTGCGGGTTGCCGTGGGGGACGCCTACGCAGCAGACCGCTTGACGCCGCCACAGTGGAAGGAGGAGGGCCCGTGGAAAAACACCGCGTGACCCCAGAGATGGCTACAAGGGCCGATGCCTTGTTTCTTGCTGCAGTAGTGATTTCCAGGAAGAATTGAGAGGGGCTGCGCCATTCAGTTCCTTTTCGTGTTTTAATTCTTTTATTTCCGTCATTCCCCCTTCCCCACACCAAACGCCAAACCAACCAAGGTTTATTACGCTCATTTTTCGTTTCATTTGCTTGTCTCTCCCGCTCTCGAGGAACCGTGGTCGGTCGCGTTCATTCTTGCCAAAGAAGCGGCGGCGGCTGCGAGAAAAAAAAGGAAGCCTCCCACGATCTCACCCCACCCCGAGCACCCCGAAGAAAAACCGCTGGCGCCGCGGGAGCCAATCCTACCTTGTCAGCGAACACTGCGAATGTGTGAGACTATCCGCACGAAGAAGCGGGCATCAGCGAAGCGTCACACCACCACCACCATTGTCGGGATACAGGCAACGACACGGCACCCACACCACCGCACCGTTCGAGCGTACGCCGAACATTGAACAGAAGCTCAGCTGGCGAGCAGGCGGCTGCGCAGACCCACCATGTGACCTCGAGAAACGACTTTCCTAAAACAGCTTAGTAGCGCTAGAGATAGCGGCTCCCGGAAAACCCCGCCTGTGCAGAAAAACATCCTAGAGCCAGAAGTAACGCTTTTAGCGCCACTCTGCAAACACTGCAACGCGTGGCAGCGGCGCCTCGAGCGCATTTTCGATCTCTTTTCCGCACAGCTGCAAAGTTACGACACGATTTTGTTCATGTCACTGAGAACGCAAGTTGCACTACATTTATCTACTGTTTATGTGACGACACAGACGCTACGGCCAGTCAAGACGTAGGGGGCTCGCTTTTGCAAGTGACGTTTGCAGCAGCGCCCAATGGCGAGCGCCTAGCAACCACGGGAGCCTCTGTTCTCTCCCCCCATTTGCTGTGTTTACTTCCACGCAATGCTGCGGGCCGCATGCGCGCGCCGTCGGTAGCTGTTGCCGGTGCTGTTGCCAGTGCGGCACGAGCTACCGTGCACGCTGCCGCGAAACCTTCCGCGTGGGGACGGCGTGGCAGCGGGTCAAAAACGGGTGCGCGTTTTTGCAAGGATGAGAACTATGTTGCTCCGCGCTGATTTCGCGGTACCGCAACGTAATGCACTGACGTTTCCCATAACTTCAGCACATTTTTTGAGCGCATTTCGTTCGAATTTAGGCTGACCACTGCGAAAAATCCAACTGTGTTCTTTCAACCACACGCACTCGTTCCTTGATATGAATCCAATTTCTATTGAGCGACAGAAGGAAACGAATCTACTGATTTCTGACCGTTGTCACATGGTAGCGCAATTAAAATCTTTATACTTGAGTGAAACGAACACGCCAGGGGCGTGGCTGGGCCAAGACGAGAGCTTTATTGCGATAGCGCGGGTTAATGTAGCGTTGTGCGAGAGGGGTTAAGGGGAAGGGAAGGAGAAGAAGCAGTGGTGATAACGGCGGCTTCGGCTGGCGTGACGTCACGGATACATCATTCCGCTCCCCCTACGGTGAGTAACGGTCTGGGGGTTTGCGTTGCCGGCCCGAGCGACGCAACACCGGAGTTGAGGGGCTCCCGGCGATCTCGCTCCTTGTTGGCGCTCGCCTCGGTGTTCCTCCTGCTAGGGCCCCGCCGGCAGTTTCGAGGCACCGAGAGTCACCGACTTCTCCCTGGTCATGCTCCAACTCCCGTGGCTTCACCTGGTCGCTGTGGCGCCTAATGGTTTCCCCCTCCGGACCATCGGCATTCACCAGGCGGGCTCCGTCTGTCGATGTAATGCTGGCTGGAGTCCACGGCTCGCCTCGCCCGAAGTTCCTCACCCAGACTGGCTCCCCGGGCTGCCACCCATCGAGGGGGGGACGGTCAACTGGTGAGGGCGGAATGGACACTGCGTTGTCCAGCCTGGAGCGAAGATCGTAGCCCATTAGGAGTTGCGCTGGTGTCCGGCCCCCGGCCTGCGGCGTCCTGCGGTACCTGTGCAAAATCCTAGCCAGGCGGGTTTTCAGTGACCCTTGTACATTCTTCTTCAATGAATACTTCACCGTACGAACCGCCCGCTCCGCGAGCCCATTGGACTGGGGGTGATACGGTGCTGTTCGGAGGTGTACTATGTTATTCAGCTTCGTGAAGGTGTTAAATTCCCAACTCGTAAACTGTGGGCCATTATCGGATACCAGCGTCCGGGGCAACCCGAATGTACTGAACAAGGTGCGCAGAGCCTCTATGGTGGCGTGTGTGGTGGAACTCTTCATGGGTATCGCTTCTATCCACTTACTATGTGAATCCACCACAATCAGTAGCATGTGACCATCGATCGGCCCCGCAAAATCGATATGCAGCCTTGACCAACGCTCATCCGTTTCTGGCCACGCAACAGGGGGTTTCTTTGGGGGCATAGGGGCAGCTTGGATGCAACTGGTGCAGGACTTAACCATGTGCTCAATGTCATTATCGATCCGGGGGTACCACATCAAGGAGCGCCCTAGCCGCTTCATTGAGCAAATCCCTTGATGAGTATCATGCAGCAGACGTAACATCACTGCTCGGGCACTCTTAGGGACGATCACTCGATGGCCCCAGTATAGAAGCCCATAACTCCCCGTTATCTCAGCTTTCCGGTTGAAGTATGGCATCAAGTGCTGGTCCTTAGGCCCCAAATTTCTTGGCCATCCCTCCTGCACCCATTTTTGCACCTTTGCTAAATCGTCATCAAGCTCCGTGAGAGTGCCCAGTTGCTTCGCAGACATGACACCATCATTGAGGGTCTCCGTGAGCAGGACATACTCACCGTCCACAGTTTCTTCCTGCGTCTCTGGCTGGGAAGTTGCTGACGTGGGGAGTCGGCTGAGGGCATCTGCTGGAATGTTGTCTTTCCCGGGCTGGTGTTTGATGACGTAATCGTAGGCGCTCAGCAGCAGGGCCCACCGCTGGATTCGCGCAGCGGCCATCACGGGCACTGGCCTGTCTGGGTGAAAAAGTGCAACAAGCGGCTTATGGTCCGTCATCAATGTGAAAGTATTGCCGAGCAAGTATTGTCGGAATTTCGACGCACCAAACACAAGTGCCAAGGCTTCACGCTCCAGCTGCGAGTAATTTTTCTCAGCTCCAGTCAATAACCGAGAGCGGAACCCTATGGGCCGAAGTACCCCGCCCCCGACATCGTGTGAAAGCACTGCGCCTATTCCGTCCGGGGAGGCATCGCATTCCAGACTAGCGGCTTGTGTGGGTCAAAATGCGCCAGAAAGTCTGCGGATTTCAGAAGGTCTTTCACACTGCTGAATGACTGCTGTTGAGCGGTATCCCACTTCCACTTAGCTTCCTTCCGGAGTAGTTGATATAGGGGTGCCATGGCGGTCGATGCATTGGGAAGAAACTTGTGGTAGTACGTTACCATGCCGAGGTAGGACCTTAATTCTGCGGAATTCCGTGGTGCCTGAACCTTAAGGATGGCGTCTATGTTTTCCGTCTTTGGTTGAAGACCTCGAGCGCTGATTCGATGCCCCAAAAAATCCACCTCTAGTTGGCGGAACTTGCACTTGTCTGCGTTCAGGCGCACGCCGTATTCCCGGAAACGCTTGAATACTTCGTGCAGGGTGGTGCAGTCATTGCGTTTCTCTGCCACGATGACGTCGTCTAGGTAGACCTGAACACCCGGAAGTCCCTGCAAAATGGTCTCCATACGCCGTTGGAACACGGCCGGCGCGGACGCCACTCCAAAAGGCAGGCGAGTAAAGCTGAACAGTCCCTTATGCGTGTTTATGGTCGTGAGTTGCATGGCTTCCTCATCCAACGGAAGCTGGTTGTATGCCTCCCGCAAGTCTATCGTGGTAAAAACTTCACCGCCATTTAATGTAGCCAGGATATCCTCCACCCGTGGCAACGGATATTGCTCAGTGCGACAGGCTTTGTTGACCGTTAGCTTAAAATCGCCGCAAAGGCGGATGCAGCCATTCCGTTTCACTACCGGTACCACTGGCGCCGCCCACTCCGCATGAGGCACCGGTACAATAATACCCGCGCCCGAAAGGCGGTCCAGTTCCGCGTCGACCTTTGGCCGAAAAGCATACGGAACTTCGCGTGCTTTCCAAAACTTCGGCACCACGTTTTCTCGCGTCTCGAAGTGTACCGGTGGCCCTTTTATGAGCCCTAAACCTGGCGCGAACACATCAGCGAATTCTGCTAGCAACCGGTCCACGTTAACGTCGTCAGCACCGAGTAACGGCAGTTGCTCACCTGACGTGTTCACGTTCATTACCGGTGCCTCGAGCATGTGGAACGCTTGAATCAGGTCGCGTCCGCAGAGGTTTGGGCCGGAGCAACCAAGGACTTGCAAAGATCCAGCCGTCGACTTGTTTCCGCACGAAACCTTCAGCTGAAGTTGTCCCCGCACTGGAAGCCGTCCCAGGAAGCAGGTGAGTTTCAATGGCGAACCACGCAGCTTCGGCCACACTGTTTTGTTCCGCTCATATGTGGGCCACGTGATGACCGAAACCGGCGAGCCTGTGTCGACCTGCATGTTCACTGGAACCCCACCACAATCCAAGGTGCGCACGATGGGTTGCGTAATGCCGATGTGGCCGATGTGACTGTCCGCTGCCTCCAGCGCGAACATACCGTCCGTGCCAGTGTCTTCCTCCCGCGACAAGGCTTGTACTTGGCGTTCTGGTGGTACCACCCCGAACCCACTCTCACGGCGGCAACAGGCTCGAGCGATATGACCTCGTTGTTTACACTTGAAGCATGACGCCGAGCGGAAGCGGCAATCCTCGGGTCCGTGCCCTTTTGCTCCGCAGCGGTAGCACCCAACAATCTGTGGCCGGCTTCGTGGGCGATAGGACTGGCCTCCCAGCGCATGCACACTTGCCTCAGCGGTGGGGCTTACTATCTCTTGTGCGTCGGCCTCGGCCATTTCGGTAGATATCGCAATTTCTTCCGCTTCGCTCCTCGTCAGCTGTGGTTTCGCGAGTAGCTGCCGACGCACTCCGACGTTGTGCAGACCACACACGATGCGATCTCGTAGCATTCTGTCCAACGAAGCACCAAAATTGCAGGTGTCCGCTATCTGTCGAATCGCCACGACAAAATCCTTGACCGGTTCGCCGGGCAGCTGATTGCGGGTGAAGAACTTATAAGACTGTGCTATCTCGTTCGGTTGCGGCGAGAAGTGCTGCTTAAGCAAGGCTATCACTTGTGGGTACGAAAGTTCATTCACCTTATCCGGAGCACAACGTCCGCTCAGTACGTCGACGGTGTGGGTGGACAGTGCAGTCACCAGCAGGGCCCGCTTCTTGTTGTCTTCCGTGATGCCATTTCCCTCAAAGAAGGCTTCCAGCCGAACCTGGTACGCGGGCCACTTGTCGCTCGCCTCGTCGAACTGCGGCGGGCTGGCGTATCCTCCCGTGGGTGCGGCGGTCATGACGGACGGAGTTGCCGCACCGCTTTCATCCCATCCTCGTCGCCACTGAAACGAACACGCCAGGGGCGTGGCTGGGCCAAGACGAGAGCTTTATTGCGATAGCGCGGGTTAATGTAGCGTTGTGCGAGAGGGGTTAAGGGGAAGGGAAGGAGAAGAAGCAGTGGTGATAACGGCGGCTTCGGCTGGCGTGACGTCACGGATACATCATTGAGGAAATGAGGAATACATAGTACAGTAGGTTTCTGTGAATCACATTTTATTGAATTACTCACGCCTGAAACGGCGTAGCCACTTCAGAATGTCCCGTTTGGCGAATGCATCTGTGGTGCAAACCGTGCAACCATGGCCACTAGGACGAGATATCGATCGACAAAATCTTCCACGGAGTGCGCCAGCGTGTTTCGTTCACATTTTCCACTACGAGAGAGGAGTTTTCCGAGAACGTAGGGTTAACCGCGCTCTCAAGGCATATCATTAGCCTACAAAACACTGCATATGAACACCGCTGGGAACCAAGCAACACAGGCCTTTGAGACTCGTGCATGATTCTGCTCTATTTATTATGCTAATTCCTAACCATCCTATTCGTCATCAAATTATTTCTCTTCGCTCTTTCGCAATATTTCTTTTAAGCTTATATTTTGCTGCTAATATTTTATAATGTGATTATTTCTGCATATTTTTGGTTCTGCTACACGCTGTTTTACTTTTGTCATACTTATTCGGCCTTATTAATGTGTAATATGTCACGTCTATATTGCCGTATTTTTTGTTACTCTTGTCTTCTGTTTTAAATTTATGTCGTTCTGTTTAAATGTTATTCCGAAATTTCTGGTGCCATTTTTGTGTATCATGGCATATCTCATTAGTTTACATTTTTTGCGCATTGTATCTCACTCCCCTCAGCAACACTTCGGCAATTTCAAACTTAAATAATGAATAAAGAAATTATGTGGTATTCATTCATCATGTTAGTATTTAAAAAAAAGAAGTATGCGAGCTAGAGCGCGTCCCGCAGGACCTTAATGAACTTATTTCAATCAATCAATGCATGTCACCCTTGAAAAGTTATTCCAGTCTATCATGTAAAACAATGTAATTTTGTCACTTTATTTCTTGGAGAATTACGCAGTGCGAAAAATAATCATGCGTAATAGGCGTGTGTTCAAATTAAGAAATCACTGTCAAAATATTGCAGTGAAAACATGCAATTATTAACCAAACAAAGGAGCTTATATTGGTTATTACGTCACCATGAGGCCTTCTTACGTTGACTTCAGATATGCTGGGTTAATCTTTCGTTGATATATCACGAAACAATAACAGTCGTTCCTATTCACACGTGACAAGTTATTTTATAACACCAATGATGAAGCAGTCCAGCATACATGCTTTTTCAGAGCTCTCTAGGAAATTTATTTGCATAATCTGTTTTTTCGTTAAACGTTCTATTGATATGAAGTGTGTTCCATTTTTTTTTTCTGTTGAAGCAGTCGATCTCTTTTTATGTGATTCTTAAAGGTAAAAAAAGAGAAAAGTGAGCCCCGTAACTGCATGCATCAGAGTGCGACACCTCAACGGTAGCTCACAAGGGATGGGGGTAAGGAGGAATTAAAAGGATAGGATTAAAAGGTATATATAGAGAGATGAAGGAGAAAGCGCGGCACAGGGGCAGCGAGCAACGGAAGTAAAGAGGAGATAGGAAAGATGGACACGGTAGCAGGAGTCCGAGGACGGGGCACCACTCAGCGAGAGCTCATGTCGGCGTCAGGAGATGGCTTAAAGAGAGCCTAGTCGGCCAGAGCTGCGCTGTCGTCGGAGATCGCGGGGGCACAACCGGTGGGCACGAAATCCAGAGAGCGATTCCCAAGCAGTTGATCTTCGAAAAAAGGAGCGTGATACACACAACGTATTTCTCCGTGCTCAATTCGAGTTCACTAATTAACCATTCACTCAAAAAGACACCTTGTAATTGAAAAATTGACTCGAGCCTACTGGAGCCACAGCCTTTAGCAGAAGTCTACGCCCCAACTTTCAAGATCTTTTGCGCAAAATATTTATAGTAAAATTGATTGAGTAATTGATTTATTAACATCATTATTTATACATGATCTCCTTATAGCATGTGGCTAGGCTGCATAGTCCAGCAGTTCATTGGTTATCGCTGCCGTGTTGACCCTCGCCACGATCCAGTGATGGCAGTCAAGCTCATTGCTGAGCTGAACGTCCCCCTTTTCTTTCGAGGGTTACGGAAAGGGTCAAATAAAGAAAATATCGATTGACGCGCGTGCTAACCTAGGTCATGTAAGCCAAAGGGTACAATGTTATCGCTGCATGCTAGAAAACGTTTTGGGATGAATGCTGATTGCAGTGACCATTGACTTTCATAGCGCTTTTCAAACACAGATGTATATATTCAAACACAGGGCGTGCGGGCATGGACGCAAGAACGGAGTCAGTGCAGCACGGTCGTCGACTAACATCCGTTGTTAATCGACGCATATGTTGCCTTCTTTCGTCTCTATGTGGTTT